AACAAACAGCTATTCAGCTGGTCCAGCATTTCATATTCTACCTGCAGTGAAGTCCCAGTTGTCTTTTAATCTTAGCGAAGATATTGGGGTTTCTTTTTTTTTTGGTAACTTTTCCATTTTACCATCTGTACTCAGCTCTTTCTTCACTACTTCCTTGCTTATGGAAGGATTTCACCTTAAAATCTAGCATTCTCTGTGGTCTGAATAGCTTCATACTGCCCGTTAGCTCTGTTGCTTACTGCTATTCACTAATCACACTTCTTGTTACAGGTCTCACCTATTACTAGGTAGCTGCTGTCAGAAGCCATCAGTGCTGTTTGGAACAGGCCATCAGTGGTGTCAATTTAGGGCAAATACCTTCTTAAGTTTAAAAATCAGATTTCTAAAACATTTTCCCTTGTCGTTACAGTCATTAAATTTACTTACAAGTTAAATTACAAGATCAAAATATACATGTTTATCTATTTTCCCCAGTAGACTTCTATTTTAAACACAAAAGCTGTATTTATGTTCACAGTTCAAATACTGGAATTATTCTAATACATGACAATTTGTAATAGAGTTAAACTGTTTTCAGTGTTCATAATTAGATTAAAAAGAAGACACGAAATAGGGATGTGTAATTTAAATCTTCTAAATCTTTTTGAAGTCATTAATTATAAGTGTTGGAATATAGGAAAAAACAGAGTGTTTATAAATTTGCAGGATTTCTTTACAAATCCTTTTTTTCTAACAGGGTTGATTCATTACCATCTGGCAGCTGCTGTTTTGCGGCCTTGAAAAAAATAGTCAGAGTCTTCAGTATAATCCCAAGGATATGTATCAGTGTGGCAAAAGCTGATGACAGCTTAAATCCCTGTTGCCAAGGATATGTGGGTGTATAAACTCAGTCGTGTGTGAATTTTCCAGGTCAGGCTCGATCTGTAGCTACGCTGTGCAACATGGGACAGGGAAGACCTGAATTCGCTCAGGCAGGTATTGCTCAAGCAGGGCAGCGCAGCAAGGTGCAAGAGGCAAAGTCCCGGCAGCAGTGAGCCATGCCGTGCTAGCCATGCCGTGCTAGCCATGCCGTGCCTTTATAGCCATATAGCTGGCCACCTGTAGAAGCCCTGCCCTTCTGCAGACTGCTCTTCCCCAAGGCGGTCCTGCCTTCAGCTCCAGCACTAGCTCGTCTGGAAGCTTCGCACCGCATCCCCTTGCACAGGGCAAGCCTGGCCTTTGCCAAGCGGAGGAGGAGGAACTCCTTGCACATCCCAGTCCCTCCAGCCCCAGCCTCTCTGCCGAAACTTACCCAACACCACAAACCACGCAGATGCGGACGGGAAATCATCCATCGGTTGGGTGGGAGGGAGCTGCGGCAGCTGGTGGTTCAGCAGGTGGCATTGTGCTCTCACGGACTGCCTGGAGGCAAAGCTCGGCCCCCCCACCAGGGAGGAGCACCCAGCTGCGGTTGTTTTGCTGAGGGTGTGACGGTAATCAAGAGCTTTGGCTTCCTGCGGTTATTAATGGCTTCTGGTTAATTTCTGGACCATTCTTACAGTCTGATTTCAATTCACTTTACCGGCTCCCATAGAGTAACTGCACTCTTACCAAGCGTCCCTCAGGACTCTTTATGTGCACAGGACTGCCCGCTGCGGTCTATCCCAAACTGTACAGCACTTGTGGTTTTGGTCCTCTGGTTTGCGAGCAGTGAGAAAAGCAAGATCTGCTTTAAATGAACTCTGTGACAAACGGTCAGCTTCAGAAAGAGCAAGGCAGAGTGGGCATTCATGTACCAAATTTAGAAGATCTGCAAAAGTTTGTGGGTGTTTCTGGTGGACAGGTGCTTTACAGGTGTGGTTTATTAACATTAACATTAGACTTCTCTCAAGTTGTCAGTTCATCACCTTTCATTCCTTTGTACTTTTAACACAGTATTATAATAATTTAGCTATAAACAAAGACTTCCCTTCAGCATTCACTAGGAAATTCCTGAATATACTGTGCAAGAAAAACTGTGTTTTATATGGCAGTATTATGCCTTACTTTTTAATAGTGATACCAAAAGAATGTGTTCATATAAAAAATAAAAATTAGTTGAAAACATGTATTGAAGCCAGAACTAGAGATTGGTCATCTCAAAATCCCAGATCTTGCTCCCAAATATTATAAAGAGACTTCAAAATCTGTCCCCAAACTTTACAACTTGCCCATCTCTCTGATGTGTTATCCAAATACTGGCATTGGGTCACCCCAGGTCCCTAGGCATATAGATAGGGAAAACCAGTCCATCTGGTGAGGTGAAGATAAGACAGAAACCTTTCCAACAATATCTGTCATGCAAGCACAGCTGTGATAACCACACCGTTGGGAGATGACCAGTCCTGTTAAACAATTTGAATGACCCATGGGAACTATTCCTAGGTTCCTGTCTTGTTAACTCTTGAGTGGGATATATGATATAATCCTAAGAGGAGATAATGTTTGAATGAGATGCAGGTTAGTATTTTAAAAGTCCATCAAAAGATTAGTGGTCTGTTACAGTGTCTGCACTTGGGACAACCCATCAACCATTTGCTACACAGAGTCAAAGTATACTTCCAGTCTTCAGTACTGATGACCCGCACACAAGTACCCCCTGAAAAAGTATGTGCTTATCCAGCAAGTGCTCATTTTGGAAAAAAAAAAAAAAAGAAGGTAAATTTTAAAAAATAAATATGTTTTGTCCACACAAAATCATGACGTGCAACTAGAGATGCAGCAGTAGAGGGCTGGCCAAGGTGTAGGAAACACTTCTGTGGCCTGAGGTCGACTATCCCTCTATGCCTTTGAATGGAGAGGGTAATTACACCATTATTCTGGATGACTTTTATGAGCTTGCACATGATGGAAAAAGACAATAGCTTCCTGAATCCAATTTTCTTCCCACGCAAGGGTAATCACAATCTGTCCCTAAATATTGCTGTGTCCTAGTAATATATACATTTATTCCTCTATCTGAAGTGCTGAAAGCATTGTACTGCTTCATTACAAAAATCCATAAACCCATGTAAATTTTCTTAAATGGTGTCTTGAAGAGCTGATGGCTTGGAATAAACAAGAAGTTTTGTCAAATAAACCCAAAACATACCAACTCTAACTTTGCACAGATGATTTCACAGCATTGAGGCCTTCTTCTTCCCTGAATGGGGTTATAAATTATCTCTGAGCTATTTTGCTTCCAGCTACTCCATCTGTAACCATTCTAGTGTGGTTTCTAAAGGAAATGCATGCACATTAACATGAAAATACTTCCTGTCCATGTTGAGAGGAAGGTTTCTTGGGACTTATTTGACAGACAACGTATCACGAAACTCTTAAACAGTAATTAACTAGCACATTTCGGAAAAACTTTTCAAGCAAAAGCATCTGTGTATAAAGCAAAGTAAAACTTTTCTCATTTGATATTAAGTATGATTTGTCTTTGATATGAAGCTTTGGCCCTATACCCAGGGCTTTTTTATCTGGGGACAGGGGAAAGAGAAGAAAGATGGGAAAGGATTTTTGTGAATGTTGCTCTCTGACTTTCTCAGAAACAGTTGCTTTGACTGGACTCATTTGACCACAGCAGCCATTTACATTGTAAACAGCCACCTCTGAAGCAGATAAGCTTTTTTTTTTTTTTTTTAAAGAATTGCTTCTAAAGGGCAGTTGATCTCATCTGGAAGAACATCTAACACAGGTCAGGTGGGTGAAAGTGCCTGCCATTCTTCTGAGAATGAAGGAAGCTTCATCCAGATAGAGGTCATAACTCTCCCCAGCACGCCCCTGACTGTAATGCTTCTCCACATGCCTGGTCTTAGAGCTCTCTCTTCAGCCTGGACCCAAAACTGTCAAGTGAGTTTCTTAGTATGAAGAAATTAACTGCAGACAGCACTGTAGGGGAGCAAGGCTCCTTAGTGGAATAAAAGAGGGACAGAACAAAAGAGAATATGATAGAGGTCTTTAAAATCACAGTTGATTTTAAGGCAGAGGAGGTAAAGGAGGAACAACTGCTCACTGTCTTAGCAAAAGAACTAGGTGACATTCAATGAAATAGCCAGTGGCAGGTTTCATAGCAAACCGAAGAAGGTATTTCTTCATGTAACACCTAGATTAGCTGTAGGACTACTTACCACAGGATGTTGAGGGTGATAAAAGTCAGCATGGGTTCAAATGCACGCTAGAAAATTCAGTGGAAGAAAAATTCCTCTAAGACATGACCAGTAATTCAGCAAGTACTTGACATTCACATTTCTGACAGTTTGGGGAATATTCCGGGCAAGTCGTGACTATATATGCTTGTGCTGTTCTTTCTTCATTTCTTTTATGGATCTGTCTTGCGCTTCTCTTTCTTCATCATCCATCACTAGTTGCTGGGATCTGGATGGACCTTTCATCTGATCTGGTGGAGTTGTCCCTACATGCATGTGCTTAGCTGCAGCGTGATGAAAGCTTCTTTCTCCAGTGCTTATCTTGCATGCAACATTTGACTGCTTCTCACCACAGAATTATTATCATTCCTGTTTCTTCCCACTAGGAAAAACCTCCCTCTTCTCCTGAAGGTTGTCAATCTTTTCATACAGTCAGTGTAAAGTGTGTCTTCATGTTAAGGGATTAAAGAGAAAACTCTGAATTCTCAGTTTAGTTTTAATAATCTCTCTCCTTTGATAATCTGAGTGTGCATGATCTACTATTCTTCAGGGCCAAATATTACCTACTTTTCTGAAGTTACCTCAGAGATGACCAGCTCAGATGACCCAAAGGTACAATTTGCACCTGCAGTTTATGAACTGAATTTTTAAAAGTAGCAGAAGACTCCTGAGACACCTGCAAAGCTTAGGGCTTAAAAATTGTTGGGCACCCATTGCAGAAAAACCCTATTTCTTTGAAACTCTTGATAAACACTTCTTCCCATCCTATGTACAGAAACAAACTTTTGAAGAGTCTACCCAATAAAACTAGTAGATAAACGCAGTAAATTTTGTACAGGAAATAAAACATGCTACATTAATAGCTTTATTTCCTTTCAAATAAAATACAAAATTAATTATGTGAATAGTGATATTTACACATAGTCCAGTGTTCATTGTCATACATAGTACTAAAGGAAATAGCTTCCACCTGGTGCCTTGAGTCTCCAAAACAGAGCTCTGCTGAGAAGATCTGGATTTCTGAAAATTTTGAGAAAAAAAATACATCTTAATTTTACATTTTACTCTGTAATCTCAGACTTCTCAGAAGCAAAGCACATTGTCAAATTTGACAGGAAAATGGTGCAAAGAGAGAATTAATCTCAGCCTTCCCTGCATAGAGACTGAAGTAATCAGCCAGCTATAGCTGTTTATATACATGGAAATCTTCTGTTTTCCCCAGGTGATCTTCATAACATTTGCGTAGTCAAGAACCCAACAGTACATGAGAGCTGTTGGGACTATCTTGAACTGAACAGGTGGTCACGCCAGCAGCCTTCCCTCCAGAGCTGTTTGTAGGCTTACTGCTTGCTTCACTGCAGCTGAGTTTGGTTTAGGTTGTAGTTAATGGCTCCTCAAAGCACCGCAGCTGTGGGAGGAAATTCCACTCCTTTTGGCTGGGTGAATAACAGAAGAGCAGTGAAGTAAACATGAAATTAGTAAATCCGATTGCGTACCATCAAACCCTTTCCAAACTGCACAATGGCATCATATTAATACAAGTCGGTGGTTGGTCTCAGGCTGGAATCACTGGGATGAAATGAACCCAGAGTAGGGGACTGATGTAATGAGGCATGTGCTGCTTAAAACCTCATCTTTCAATTCAGTTGTCTCTGAACTCGATGCATCAGCTCTGTGCTACATCGAGGAGAAAATTTATCCTGAAATAGGAAAGGAAATGCATGTGGTGACTGTATTTCAGCCTGCAGCGGTGTCAGTGTTTGTCCTATTACCAGGCCAGGGGCTGCACGCTGGACCAGATTCTCCTGGATGAGGAAATGACTGTGGTTCAGCACTTTTACCTCTGAAACGGTTCAGCACTGGCTCTGGCATATCCTTGCTGTCCGCCTACCACTATTCACTTTGCAATTACTCTCCCTCCCTTTTTAAGTAAACTGAGAATAAGGCCTGAACCCACTGACACTTTGTAAGTGAGCTGTGTGAAAGAAAAGGCTCCTTTTGCCCTCTCTCCATTTCCTCCCCTGTATTCACACAGGCCTCCCATAAGGATTCCTGGTAGCAGTTTGTGTGGCTGAAATGTAAAGGTCATTTCTGCAGAAGAGTGACATGTAATGCATATATAGCTGTGGTAAAGAGGTTGAATTAAACATTTCTGGGCATAGGCTGATATTTCTGCAAATACATATTTAGGTTGTAAATACTTCCACAATTTAGTCTCTGTCTCATACAGCCCTATGCAAATTTAATCCAAGAGAGTTTTAAATCTGTTTTAAGGCTCCCAACACGTTTTAAGATGTTTCAAATAATGTCTGTTTTACAAATGGGAGATCTTCCTAAAACCAAGTCAAACGATTTGTCAAAACTCAAAAGGTCAGCAACAGGACCAGGATTAAATTGCCGTAGTGATGACCCTAATTCCATTCAACTACTCATTGTCACCTGGCCCTGTTATACACTGTGTATTGCTGCCATGTTAAATCCTACAGTATAAAGGACTAGAGTTTTTATTGAAAAGCTAAGGTTTGAGAAATCCTGAATGCTCACTACAATCATCATCACTTACCATAGACATTTTTATTCTATAGCTTTTTTGGCATTATCAAGAGCATTTCTGTTCTAGAAGGTGTTAAAAAAATGTTAGAGCTGTCTCTAATGATGTTTGCTTCTAGTAAGGCATTAACAAGTTGTTTTACCATGAGAACTCACAGAAGTTTCATATAGCTGCCAGCCAAAATGCTGTTCAAACTCGAAGCTGTTATGTGACAGTTGCACCATTCCACCCAGTGAAGAATACAAATGGCTGGGGGGAAAAGCAACCCAAAGCTCTCTGGAGACACAGAAAGATTTCTATTGAGTTCAGGGAGTTTTGGGTGAGACTCTTAAGAATGCAGAAATAATCAATTAAACAAATATTTAAGTTTACTCATACAGGACTAAGCCTATTTTCTCATCTAGAAATGTACTAGACAGCAAACAGATCTAAGAGCTTGAGTTCAAACAGGAATAACTGCAGCAATATGAGAAAACATGTTGCAAAAAGAAAACTTTCTGCTGGAAATTCAGATAAATGTGGAATCAGCTGCAAAAATATGAAGTGATTATTGAAATTATGCAATTTGCCTCCCAAAAAACCACCTTGGGGCCAAAATTAACTCCAAACCTGCTTGAATATACAAATATTTGCCTATGTTTCTTCTTAGGCATATTTCTAAGCAATGTGTTTAAAAACTTATTCTCCAAAACCAGATTAACCAGGATGTAAAAAATAAGAAATTACATATGCTTATATTAACTGAATAGAATATAGCCATTGGCAAACTTGTATGGTAATTATTTCTTCCAGAGAAGGTCATCCTGTATCATGTGCTTTATTATAGAAAGATGCTTATGTAATACAATTATCCAGACCACTTGGATGACACCAGCTAAGTTAAGACCAGGATTTCCTATGGGTCAGTTCTGGATTATTTCTGAGTATTATACAAGAAGACTGCTTATCACAAAATGCTTAAATGGTATTGGGAGCAAAGCCCAGCACCCAGGACTTCCTGTCCCACTTACACACCCTAACCATAGGGCTACATAGCCACACTTCTTTCTTTCTTTTTCTTTCTTCCTTCCTCCTTTCCTTTCCTTTCCTTTCCTTTCCTTTCCTTTCCTTTCCTTTCCTTTCCTTTCCTTTCCTTTCCTTTCCTTTCCTTTCCTTTCCTTTCCTTTCCTTTCCTTTCCTTTCCTTTCCTTTCCTTTCCTTTCCTTTCCTTTCCTTTCCTTTCCTTTCCTTTCCTTTCCTTTCCTTTCCTTTCCTTTCCTTTCCTTTCCTTTCCTTTCCTTTCCTTTCCTTTCCTTTCCTTTCCTTTCCTTTCCTTTCCTTTCCTTTCCTTTCCTTTCCTTTCCTTTCCTTTCCTTTCCTTTCCTTTCCTTTCCTTTCCTTTCCTTTCCTTTCCTTTCCTTTCCTTTCCTTTCCTTTCCTTTCCTTTCCTTTCCTTTCCTTTCCTTTCCTTTCCTTTCCTTTCCTTTCCTTTCCTTTCCTTTCCTTTCCTTTCCTTTCCTTTCCTTTCCTTTCCTTTCCTTTCCTTTCCTTTCCTTTCCTTTCCTTTCCTTTCCTTTCCTTTCCTTTCCTTTCCTTTCCTTTCCTTTCCTTTCCTTTCCTTTCCTTTCCTTTCCTTTCCTTTCCTTTCCTTTCCTTTCCTTTCCTTTCCTTTCCTTTCCTTTCCTTTCCTTTCCTTTCCTTTCCTTTCCTTTCCTTTCCTTTCCTTTCCTTTCCATTCCTTTCCTTTCCTTTCCTTTCCTTTCCTTTCCTTTCCTTCCCTTTCCTTTCCTTCCCTTTCCTTTCCCCATGCATTCTTGCATACTTGGCTTCACTGTGACAACAGGAGGGTGGGAAGTGGTGCTTCTAACCTGGCTGAAAGTCTTGTGTCTGGAGCATTCGTATGGCAGATAGAAGCTGTGGGTTTGAACCCTCTTGGTTTGGGACCCCCTAGCACCTAGCTCTGATCTCAGAGACTCTGTACAATGCTTTTACCATCGGATAACTATACAAACAGTGAGTAATGTCACCTCCTCTTCTGGCTGCATATTAAAGGATGATGTTAAAATGTTACATGCTTCTTAAATACAGTTATGGGGATTGTGAAAGAAGTTAGGAGCTTCTGTCCTTTGGATTTTAGGCATCCTACAGAACTGAACCCTGCATCCATCTAATCTTCCAAATTTACTATCTGGTCAACACATTAAAAGTCAGAACTTCTTTTCACAGGTAACACTGAGTTCCAAAAAATGGGGGTCCTTCATACTTACTTTGTATAGTAACTTGTGAGTGACAATCTCAAATGCTCTGTAAACATTAGTCCCAGAGCATCCAGGGGAACTAACATACATTTTCTAAATTCACAAAAACAAGCAAGGAAATGCTCAAATGTAGTGCCTAGGAGGCAAAATGCATCAGTTATCCTAGCGGATATTCTGCCTTGGGGATACCGTGGACTTAAAATATGCATATATTTTTGTCCTTCATGAATTATTTTAGATTGCATCCATTCTAATTAGGTTCTTAGATAAGGCTGAATAGTGAGTTTCTATTTTTCCAGTTTCTGAATTCACCCTTTGGCTCAGTGACTGGCTTCCATTTTATGTCTCTGGACAGCATAACATACTGCCTGAATAACTATGCTGTTTTATGTCCAAGGCACTTATCTGCTTCCATTAAACCTTGTTGAGATTTAAAATTAACACAAGAGAAGGGAAAACTACTCTGATCCAGATTTTCATTGCAGCTACTAGAGTTAAAAGCTGAGCTGATTCAGGTTTTATCATATTTCTCCCTTTTGCCAAAATACACCTACTTGAGTAAAGATGGAAAAAATTATTAAGGGAAAGTAATGGCATGAAACACTGTTCTTGTTAAAAATAATCAAAAGGTAGTCTTAGAGAGGCAGAATTGCAAGATTTATAATTATAGAGTGGTTGAAGAGGTATTCAAACTCTCATGGATGCTGAAGGATGATTATTTAGACTTACAGTTGACAGATGATTAAGTAACAGTAACAAAACCACATTGACTGAAAGTTAAACATTTAAAGTAGTTTAAAGGACTTTTACTATACTAATGACATGAAATACCTGGGGTCCCAGCCAGTGCCATGTATTCCACAAACTATGAGTGCTTTCTTCCACATGTTGTCCATCACATTGATTCATCTTAACCTTTGTTCCTGTCCATATTTTCTTTGTCTAACTCAAAGACTGCTAGGTAAAAATAGTAATTTTGAATTCTGCTCATTCTACACTCATTATTTTTTATCACTATTATGTTTATGTTAGGGAGTGCAAGATCAGGTTGTTCAAAAATTTAAACAGAAAAATGTGTGGGGCGTAAGCCTGTAAAGTAATGCTGATAGAACTGTTCAGACAAATAACCTTTGCCAGCAATAAAGTGACCCTAAACTTTACAGACATTTGGCAAATACTCTTCAGCCTTCCACTGTAGATATTTCCTTGTGAAACTTCTCAACCTTTTTAGTGGTCTCCCTAGTTCATACCCCACATACCTTGAATAATCCTATAGAAATCCATATGCCTTAGGATTTAGTCAGTGGCTTCTCCAAAATGAATCCTTTAGGTATTCCTATCTCCCCTCACTACTTGTTGAACTGTTGGTAGGTGAGAAATTGTCTTCTGAGGGTCCTTGGGGCCACTGACCCACATACGAATTTCGAGTCCTTACAGCAAAGCAGAGTGCTCACCTCCCAAGAGGTAAAAGCCTCACCAGGAGGCTGTTCTCCTACCAGACAGATTCTGTTTCATACAGGAGTGAAGGCAATGAAGAAGCTCACTCAGATCAGTAAATCCCCCAGGGGACCTACTACAAATTACAGTAATATCACTGCTGAGTTAATAATATTGATGTAACTACAGTAGTCTTAGGACACATTGATCTAAAAGAGGATCAGAGCAGAGGAAGAGGTATTGTCCTTTATTAATCAGGTCGTAGACCTGGAAGATGGACAGCTTTGTGGATTGTGTCTGCTGTCATTTCTCGTCATGCCTGATGAAGTGGAGTCCAAACCCGAAAGGAATGGACCACAGTTTGGGGCTTAGCATTACAAGAGTGCAATAAGATGGCTAAATCTTCACAAAGTAAACTTGATTAATTTTCAGAGTCATCTGTAGATCAGATTTAATTACCAATTATATTGCTTCATAATCAACTAATGAATGTGTTTCAGTACATTTGAGAAACTAGTGCCTTTTTTAGTAATGCAAACATTTTACTAGAAAGCCTGTTATTAAACAAATGATCAGCACTAGAGAGAGGATCACAATCATAGTGGTTTTCATAGTTTACATGCTTTAGCGGTGTGATTTACTGAAGTTACATTGCAAAATACTACTTTTATCACAATATTTATTTGAAGTTCTATATGTTGTCCTAATTTCACTAGATAAGTAGTCTGCCATAAGCTGTTTGCACTCTTTAAAATTTACATAAATTATTAAATGCTTTTCAATACAGGCTTTTCAGATTATGTAGTGGATGTGTGTGTAGTATATTGCATTTACAAGCTCAAATATATGGTATTAATAAAGAATGATGGCTCTGACCATTTCCTTTTCTAAAAAATTAAACTTTTTTGATTAGGGGCTGAAGATGCCAAGTTAGATCTGTAATCTAACAAACATGTGCACAGATGTACTTGAAGACATGGTCATCAACGCATGTCTGTGAATTCACATAAGTATAATGTGAATCACCCTTGGAATCATCCCACAAAAGCCTGACTAAAAAAGTCTATTTAAATCTATACAAACATTCCCACTGATTTTGTTGTGTTGTGAATGAGGTCCAAAAGGGATGATTACAGATGTTTCTTTGCAGGAGGCAGGTTATAAACTTCTTTAAGAACTGGTGAAATCCTCTCATGGCAAAACTTCCATTGACTTTATTGAGTTCAGGATATTCCCTATGTATTATAGACAGCTGTATGTGCTATTTAATGGCCAAGAAGTGAAGCTGATAAATCTGGAAATTCCATCATGAATAATTGATCTTCAGCTGCATAAAGTATCTCTGCCAGTGTACTACAACTGATATTCTTAAACGATACTGAGATATTTTAGGGAATGTACACTCATTCTTCATTCAGACATCTACTTTATCCTCAGTCCCTCATGGGACTCACAGACGAAGTGCTCCTTTATCTTTTCACATGCAAGCTAATTCATGTCACTGCTGGTGCCATTAAAAATTGCATGATAGCTAGCATGCTTGCTAAAGAAGTAGAAATCTTGGTTCAAATCCCTCCTGTGCCCTGTGTGTCCTGAGATTGCACCTCCCATATCCTAGGAAGCTTCCTGGACTCCTATGTGTGGGTATGATATATGATTAAAACTGTCCTAATTTCTATCAGATGTTTAAGTATTTGCTGAAGGGTTTATGGGAATGTAGGTCTTCCTTCTCATGGCTGAGTGCCCCAGAAGTACAAAACTGGAGATTTAGTTAGACATTAGGTATTTGTTCTCCATTTGCTTTCTTTCTCCCCACCCCAAAATAATTACTAGCTATTCCAGGGAGACCTCAGAAAGAGAGGTTTTGGGGACTTTTCTCACTCTGATTTAGTAGTTTGAGCACTCCTCCAGGAGACATGGTTTAAGCACTCTTGACAGAGGGAAGCTGCAGAATAAGCAGCTACTGTCACTATAAGATTGAACAAGTTCAGGTACCAGTAATGAATGATCTTTGGCTGAATTCAAGTTGTCACTGGAGTCAATAACAAATGAGAAGAAATCACATTTTCCTTTTGTAATGAGAACAGACACACAAATTGTAAAGGAGGAACTTCAAGCTAATACTGTTTCATTTTCCAACTATTCTGCTCCTGCTTACTAATTTACTCCTTTTTGTTATTTTTCAAGACAAGGTCTTAAGGGTTTTCTTGCCTGTAAATTTTATCAGCTGGCTATAACCTTTTTTTCCTTTCCTGCAGGTCCTGTTGCCACCATATGATGATCCTGTGAATGGCGCTGCTAAAGATCCACCACCACCTTATGTGTCAGCATAAGTGAGAGAATGCTGTGTACCTAGGGAGGATAGCTTTACTTTTCAGACATTGAAGCAATAGTTTGATAATTTCACTTCCAGGATATAAACTCTATGGGTTATACATTGCTGTTTTGCTGACATATTGAAACCTGAATTGTATGATTAAAATTATGTAGATAGTTTTAATAATTTGCTGCAACTACAGTAGTGATTCAGAAACTAGTGAACTAGTTTCAGAACAATTCTGGGTAGTGCTAAGGTTATGGTAGTCACTGAATAGATTTGTCCACCATATCTGACATGCAGTGCTAGAGAACGTAGAACTTTGCATTCTCAATCAGGTTCAGAGTGTAACTTCCTTTTTTTTTTTTTTTTGTTTGAAAAACTTCCAAAGCATTACAAATGTGTTTCTCAGATGCCCACTGTCACCTTCAGAATACAGACCAAGTCAAAAAAATGACATTCCACTTCATTCCTGTTCTGTGAGAATTTATTAAGTTATTATGCTATGAAGGATGATGATTGCAAGAAGAATGAGTCTTACGCACTATTCTCATCAACCTGGCTAATGGGAAACAAATGTAATTTGGAAAAATAAGTATAGGAAATGAGAGTAGACAAACTCTGATGTGTAACAAGCCAGAACCTGTGGTCTACACGGACTCACTTTGTCCCAGCCTGCAACCATTCTAATGCTCAAAAAAAAGAGTTCTCACCAACTTCTGGTAATTTTCTTCTCCTGCCTATGCACCTTTTTCCTCCCCATCAACTTCACCAATAGTATTCTGAGGTCACAGAATTCCTGCTTTCAAAGTCCCATGGTTAGGTGACAAAGATGCATCTTTTCGCACTCAATATGCAAATGTTTTCTCACTGGCATGTGCCTGTAAATATCGCAATGTTCTGCTGAGTGTGAACTAAATTATGCAGATTCTAAGATATATGTTCCCGACCTATGGGAAATTTATGCATGTAACTTCCTCAAGCGTTAGCAGATATGTTTTGTGTGGTTCTCATATACATCAATGTGGGGATTTTAGATTCCTCTTATGACTGAACTGGTTGTGCTGAGAATCTTTCTCATGAGACTCATCCATCCATGAATGCTTGTGTGAGGTATTTATTTCTTCCCCAGAGAAGTGCCTCCTGCACATGTAACTTTTTGTTGTTGATGAAAGTTCTACTTTTAATTGAAAAGGAACAGGAAAAGGAAATACAATGTGTGTCTCTACCTCTCATCGTTTCCCCCTGTGTTGTTTCCTCTGCATTTGGGGTGATTGAAGAGGCTGAAGCTAGACTGATGAGATTGCACACCACCCCAGGTAAAGGGCAGTGCAGAGCTGAGCCACAGTTTGGAAGGGCACCAGCAGAAACCTAGGTGCTGTTTCTCCTGTGACTGGGCTGGCATGTGAGTCTACACCTTTCCTAAGGAGGACACCCATTCTCACCCTCAGTGCATTGACTCCATTCTACAGACTGAAGAAGAGTGGAGCATTTCCTGCCTTTTTCTGGAAAAGAGCTTTCCAGGGGAACACAGGACCAACAACTTCTTTTCACAGAGGTTGCCACTGGGACCTGTCCTTGCAAAAGCCAGGGAAGGAAGGGCCAGACTGTTTTTGCCTGTCTCTTCCACCCCCCTGGGAAAAGGAAGGTCCCCATCTGCTTGTTGGATTTTTACTTCAGGGTTCATCTACTCTGAGATCAAACTGAGCAATGCTTTTTGACTGAACCAGTCCTGAAGTCCATTCATTGATTTCTGTCACAGTCCTATTGCTTCCTTCAGAACAACTCCATGTATTATTATCTCATTACAGTTATCTTTGGGAATCAATCTGAATTTGGGGGTTGGGCTGGCTGACTGGGCTTCTGAGCTTCATTTTCTTTCATTCTCAACAGATCTGTGAAGGATTTTAAAGAGTCATCTGTTTGACAAAAGCTGGTTGTAAATACATTGCATCTGTGTATACAAACTTCTCTACAATAAAAGGGTGTTTCCTCAAGACTATGGAGATAACTTTTGCTTGTCTTCCAAACACAAACATACACAGATTCCTATCCAATTAATCTGAGATGGCAGGATTTTCTCTGTAAATGACCTGAACAACAGTTTTTCAGTCAACTCACCAGTCCATTCTCCAGCTTCCCCTCCATATTGTATAAATGAAGAATAGAACAGTAAGTTCTATAATTTATTGTACAATAAATACAAGAGATAATTCAAGCTTTTAGTTAGTTGTCCAGAACTGCAGGCAGTTTTCCAGGTCTGATGAAGTGTGTGACACAGAACAGGGCTAAACTGAGCTACACTGAAAGCTGGGGCTTCTTTTTCTCCACATCATTATAGGGATAATTCACACAAAATTTCTGTAAACTTTAGCTTGTCTAACTAAAGAATCAAGGCTTCTTCACACACAGACACCATACGTGCATAAGTACAAGTACATGTGTCCTGCCAGTACTTCTAATACCTTTTGGATTTTGTCCAATTTGAGTTATAGAGGGCAGGGAAGTTATGGTATCAAACCCATGACATTCCTGCTCATACTGCAGATAGACAGCTGGGTAGGAGGGAGCAGATAGTGTAATATAAGTTCAGCTCTGGTGACATATCAGAGAATCCACATGGGAGATGAATTTCCCTGCTCCCAAAGAAAAATTAGATTCTCTGGGTTACATGAAGAGACAGGAACTCAAACTGAAAGGTTTTTATCCTCAGTTGTTGAATTCATTCTCCATTTCCACATCTAATCCTGGGGAATTCACACCACAGCTTTTCTGCAATCCATTTTTAATAGTCAGTCATCTGTCACACAGAAACCCATTAAAAGCCTGGCTTCTTAAATTCCTGTGCTTTGGGAGCTGCTTGCTCCTAACAGTGCTTTTTTCACTATTCCTTGCATTTTTTCCTTTCTCCCAGATATTAGGAGCATGTGCTTACTCAAATTCTCTCCTGTTTTCTTACCTAACTCTAATATAGCAGCTTCTTATTAATAATTTCTAGTAACTTGAGTGGAAAGAATATTTTTAAGGTATGTTGACATGGAACATGAGAAATCTGGGGCCAAAACCAGCAACTAAGAACGTAAATCTTGATAGTACCAGAAATATAAGTACATCTTTTGCTGAAATCTTCTAGTTTTTTAAAATATCTGTTAAAAGGCATTGCAGGCTTCACAAAGTCCACACATGCTAAGGTAGTCTGATGCTCTTATTCCTGACAGAATTTCCCTTCATTGTACACTCATCCATGCATCATATTAAAGAAAACAAAGAGGAATTCGTAGTGGTGACCCAACAGTGTGCCACTTGTGCCTGTAAGTACATTACATTTTCTAAAACAATTATTAATGACCATTATTTTAGGTGTTAGCCTGTCTGTACTTCTTTGGGAAAACCTCTGTGGTAAAAACAATCCAGACATGATATGTTACCAAAGGCCATATCAGATTGATTTATGGCCAGAGAAAAGTTTGGCAAGGAAGCAGAGGGAATGATAATTAGTCTGAAACAAATTCCAAATTTTGTGCTTTCAAAATAGGGCATTCCTCACCACTACCCTGTTGGCCCAAGTATAGCAACTAGGGACACCACGGACAGTTTTAGCAAATTTTTGCAAATATCAAGTATGCACACTGATGCTTGGCATATGCAGGATGCAATACTTGGCTACCGGTTAGGACAGAATGAGAGAAGAGCAGCAACAGGGACAGAGCACAAGAGGGCAATGTTCATGTACATCCTTTAAACAGCACAGAGAGACAGATGTCATTGCATTGACGGGGTTCACTGCTACAAACCTGGTTGGCTTATGTGCTCTCTTTCTTCTGTGCTATGGTCAGGATGAAATACAATTGTTCCTGTAACCTGTTACATTAGCTGTTATGTCAGCTCTGTTTCAGACTTTTATCAGTGGAGTGGATGATAGCTTGGTCTTACTTGTTATAAGATTTATTTTCTAAATCTGAAGGAGTATTGGTTAAATTCCTGCCAAACTGACAGAAGACTTCGAGCTGCTTCTCTGGAGCTAAGTTATGTCTTTAGAGGTTGCTCCCCTTAGAGGTTCTCTCCTTAGAGGCGACTCTCCTTAGAAGCTCCCTCCTTAGTGGCTGCTCTCCTTAGAGGCTGCTTCTCTGGAGCTAAGTGATATCATTCCAATTTACATGTCTCTATTAGCTGCAGAAATTGCAGTCAGGTACCACAAAAAAAATAATTTCTTGCAAAATTTCAGTGTCTGTGGCTACAGAGATGTTTCAGCACTATCTCAGTTCACAGCTCTGAGAAACCCCAAACAGCAGCCATAGATATCTAAAGGGAGGCTTGGCTCTGATAAATCAGGATTAGAGTTCTTTCAGAGGACTCTGGTATTTTTAAGTGATGTTTCCACACCCATGGATTTGGCCCAAAATGGTTCTGCAACGTGGCCAGTTTTTTAGCTGAATAGCTCAGCAGGGTGTGGAATCCAAATCTGTGACCTTCTGCCTTCAGCCTGTGTCTACCTCCAGCAATAGAGGATACTGAAGCAACAGGACTACAAACCTCATTGTCACCCAGCAGATATAAAGTTATTTCAAAGCAAAAAGGCAATTCTACAACTATATCCTAGACAATGAGCTAAAACAGTAGTTTATTTTAATGATGAATTTATGTGAAATTTAATGCAGTAATTTTTTTTTTCTCTCAGATTATTCAAACGTTTCAAACAGGAGGGTTTTCAGAAAGTCATGGAAGGTTTGTCCTTTGTAGCCAGAGCTGGACTTAACTAATTAGTCTGAGCGGAGGACATAAGGTCACTTGGGAGTCTGAATAAACAGCAAGAAGATGCAACAGAGCTGGCTACTTGGCTTACAGGAAAAGCTTGCTAGCCAGCAGAGACAGAAGAGCTGTGAAGCTACTCTGAGAGAGGGAGTTGCAGCACAGTGGAGTCTCAGCAGCCATTTCAGAGGACTTCTGTTTGCTCTGAGGTCAGCATAAACAGCAATAGCAGGGATGAGCCACACACAGCTTTTTAACCCAGAACCTGGCCTCCATTACAATTCCTAAGTGCATCCTGCTAATAACTCTAACAGATTTCTGTTTTCGTATAAACTTTGCCTAAGTATCCAAATACTTCTGGGCTTTGGAGGTGTTTAGAGATTTTTTTTTTTAGATTCCTTCTACTTCATCATTAGAACTCTGGGGAGTTGATCACCTGTAATTTTGAAACTTTCCCTCTCCAAAGTGCCGCATTTCAGGTGCCTTCATGACAGCAGAGGCAAGGATGCAGTTAGAGACAGAGGTCCAACGTTGGTAGACTTTTAGTATCAATTCCTCTGAGAACATTCAGTGTCAGGATGGGAAAGGTGTTCTTAAAAATACAGATACTGTCCTACTAAGATAGATATGTTCTACTTTGCAGATAGTAGATCTTTCGGACTCTGGGCTAGAGGCAAGTACAAACAGGCATCCTGTCTCTTATGGAGAAAAGGTGGCTGGACAGACAATTGCTTTTATAATTATATTTTGTGCATCACGAATACACCTGTATAAAATCTGTATGAACAAACAATAAATTGGTGGGACACTCCGGGAGATTGGTACTATTTCTATGAACGCAGTCATTCTTGGCAATATCAGATGCACCCACCTGAGGGCAGCAAGGGCAATGAAAATAAAGGAACAAGGCAAGAGCTGGCAATTAGCGACAAATATTTATCTTTTGTGAGTTCATAAAGTCTTCTCCTCGTCAGATCTTTAGAAAATTTGAATGGGTTTCATTTCCCTCACTGCATTAGAGCTGCGGATGGAATTATCTTTATCAGTTGCACAGGCCAGCCTAAATTTCCTGCTAGTGTGTGATCCTGCTTCTTTGCTTTTAATAAAGAAAAAGCAACTAAGGAAGTTCAAAATGCTTTTAATGAACTAGACTAGTTAATACGATAGCTTGGGGGGTATTTTTCTTGAAAAATATTGAATTTTTCTTCTTTTGTAATGCAAAGGTTTTCCTTTTAAATACAGATATTTATTAAAGGTATCTGTGGCCACATTTTCATCTTAGGAACTGGCTGGTTTCTGTTTCAAAGGTATATTTTCTTTGTGTTTTTTAATCTTATAAATTAGCATCAGAAAAAGCCCAAAGCACAACATAATACATTGTTATCTTTTGGTTGCTTTATCCTCTCTTTGCAATTCCATTTTTCAGCCTGGATAAAAAGTCCTGACTCAGTAGTTTGAAAAAATAAAGTACCATAAAGGCAAAGTATCGTTATGCTGAAAAGACACTGTAAATGCTCCAGGGATCTAGAATAGTAGACCCACTGTGAAAAAGTGAAGCTCAGAAAAACTGAACTGTAACCACTGTATTCCTATTAGCACAGAGCAACATAACATATGTTTTTATAATTGCCGCTGTGTGGTTGTGCAGCAGCAACATTTAGATGTGGGCCACATTTAACCTCTAGAGCTGCCTTAGGTGCGCCCCCTGTATGAGAGGCTGCACGGGCAGCAGAGTCTCAGCTGAACTGGGACCAGTTCATTTTACACGAGCAGTCTGAGGATGAGCTAGAAAAAAGGGTGTCTGAGAAAAGGAGGGAAGTAAATGTTTGAGAAAGTGTGGTTTTGCCTCAGGGGTTATGAGACCAGATAGAGTCACAAGCTGTGGAAGTTTTGAGATATGATCCCTGGCCATGTTTGTGGTGTCTGCATACATCCAACATGTGAGGTCTTTTCTGGACATTTTTTTAGTTTCTGACTAGCACTCCTGCACTATGTTTATCACAGATAACAAAGTAGATAACTGATTCTTCTTTGCCTTTGAAGCAAGAAGAGTTTATTCATCTTATTGCAAGTGTAACTTTTCCCTTTGGGTTGGATTCAGTGGCAGTATTAGTAGTGTCCTTTTCCTACCTAACCAGGTTTAACTCAGCAACAAACTGTACCAAGGTTATTGCAGATTTTCTTTGGCATCTCATACTTTTTCTTGTACTGCAGTTTTTCTTTGATGCCTTTTCCTGTGAAATACCAT